TGAGACCTTTAATGACTGCATTAAAAGGTAAGAGAATCCAATTAACTACTAAAGAAGCTAACAAATCGCGTAATATAAAAAAGTTAAGGTAGATTGTTGAAGCTACTGATGGAACTTTAGGCAAAGAATATAAACTTCGTCAGAAGATATTGGATTACAAACTCCTTCCGAAATCTGACTCTTATAGTAAAATAGCGTGTTTTTTAATAATCAGTATGGGAGACGATTAAATAGTGACGAGAGATGACAGGATGTGATCATGGACAGAATATTGTGCCTAAACCATGCTGAAAGTACGTTAGCAATAATAGCAAAAAACTCAAGATAGTCAAGAAGAAGCAGTTTAGCTATAAAATTAACATCCAAAGAGCGATCAGACTTTCCTGAGATAACTGAGAAGGTTTAAAAGTATTTTTCTCAGGTTCTTATTAACTGGGCCAGTTTGTTTCTTATTTAGTAGAAATGCTAGATGAATCTGATAATCTTTACTAAGAGTATATAAAAATGTAGCCGGATATAATCAAAGTGTTAGTGAAATCAAGACATATCGATAGAAATACTTATAAGTGTTATATCCACTATAAACTTGATACTATAGGTTACAGTGGTATCTGAATGTTAACCAATGGTTTAAAAAGTCAATGTTGATAAATAAACAAATAGTAAATTTAAAAAAAATTACATTCGCTTTTACATACGCTAGGGCAACTTTTTTTTCAATTCGTGTAAAATTACAAGCTACTTATCTGTTAAAACCACATGACGTTAAAGCTTCTAATTTACGAGATATTGGAATCAAATGTACCTTTGAAAAAAGCTAAACTTGTATTTCATACTACTTCGACGGTCTTGCAATAAAAAAAATTAATGTGCCCATTGCATCATCGTAAAACATTGGTCTCATCGAAAAAAATGAAGCTTTTAATCGATAATTTTTGTTGAACCTACTTTTCACGAAATACACAACAGATTGAGCTGCACAATTTTTGTGATAGCTTGATACCTCTTAAGTATATTGAAGTTGTTTCAGATGATGAAAACTGCAAAACCTCTTCACTTACTGCCAAAAGACGGGTAACACTCGTCAAAACAATTAGTGTTTCTAAGTCAGAACTTTGTGAAGCCAGCTTGATCGTTAACTTTCTGAATCTGATCAAAATTAGACTCCATCACAATTTGGTAGCTGTTTATCAATAGACTGACTCATGATTTATATTAACTTGGATTTCCAAACATGTCCCAGAAAGGAATCCGTTTGTCATCAAGTCAATCAAATCTACAATATGGAAACCATCTTAACAGCTAAGTACTGACATAATGTTTTATCAGGCTAAAATTCTGCTGACGTTAGCTTACGTGGGATCTTTCCACTACAATCAGAAAATCTCAAGCTGTGGTGAAATGGTCTCCGTCAGCTCGTAACTCCTTAACTCGATCTGTATGCAGTAACTTTTGAATTGTCTGAATCAGTCTCAGAAAAAAGAAATAAAATTACAACTCTGACAACTCAAATTACAAAAGATTTCGATATTCTTTCGTGATTCTTCAACCTCACTGGGCTGTTATAGTTATGGCCTTCAATTTTTATTTTTTCATTTGAAAATTAATCACCCTCGAATTTTTAAATGTTAACCTCCAACACATTCCTTAACTATTTTAAACTTTATAGCTCATAAGGACGAATAGAAAAGGCCTCTTTATTATGATACAAAAAAAGATCCCATTTTATCACACAAAAATTCTCCGTTTTCCACCTTGCTTATTAATCAGGCTTTATGCAAACTCATGTCTTTTTCACAACTAGATTCTGGATCAATCCACCTCGATTTGTAATTCATAGAATCATCTGAAAATACATGCTGTGCATCAGATACGCAGTTCGTTCTGTCCAAGTATAGATAGGAGCCATTCCTGCATGTCAGGTCACAGATATTAGGCATTTTTTTGTGAATCTTATACGGGTTCTGCTTGTGTACAAACATCAATAGGTCACAGTCAAAAAGCACATAAGGCTTGTACATGTTTATTTTTACATACAGCCATCAAAGCACTTTATCTCGAAGTAATCTTTGACCTTACGGCCACTGCATTTACAGCATCTGTCAAACGGTTTACCACCCAACAAGGTGATTGTTAGGTTCTTTTAAGTGATGATGTAACAAATTTCTATTGGCAATTATAAAAAATTAAGAAAATATTCGCCAAAGCGTCTAGATTTTACCATCATCCTGCCATGAGCATCACACTTCAGAAGGCTTTAGGAGGCTTAAATCTGTTCCATTAACTATGATCCGCAGAGAGTTGTATTCGATCAGTACACAATTGTGTAATCTTGAGATTTATTCGAATTCACATCCTCTAACTTATTTTTAGTTACCACCAAAGTGATGCAAGTCTTGTGAATGAGAATTGTTTTACTTGCTGCTAGTTAAAATCTGTTATTTTAGGTAAGAGATCACTCTTTGGTCCATTGGTGCAAATAATATCTTCGTGGTTCCAATAGCGTGGTAAGTAGTGACGTCCAGAAGTCAACCTAGAGGTTGGGTTCATAGTTTTTGTTATTTATGATGCGGTTCTATCTCCCAAACGACCATATGAGGGTCATTTAATTATTAAGAGGCAAAATAACACTATGCGAGTTGCAAGAATCCTAATTAAGTCATCTAGTCATCCAGTTGTAAAATTATGACCTTTGCTAGGTAAAAAAATCAGAACTAAGAGATTATCATATAATATAGTTAAAAATGAGAAATCATATTGGTTTTATTATTTATTGACATTTTAGTTAGTTAATTGTTGGATACTGTTGCATGGTAAACTGTATTATTTCATTATAGAACATTCAACGATATTAAACATAATTAGATAACTTATTTGTTTTTGTTCAAGCTACTTAAAAAAAAAAAAAATATCTTATGGAGGCATGTAATTGGTGTCAACTAGTGATACTGTTCATCGTAGCTGACAGCCTTTTCTTTTTTGATAACTAAAAACTTTATTTTGAAGAAAATGAAATTTTTTCTGTATTATAAGGTAATCCTTTGTTTATAAACCAAAATTTGTTTATTCCTATCCATAGACTACAAGTTACTATGGAAGATTATTTACCTTATGTTTTTCAGTAAGGTATCCTGAATAACTCATGGTTTTTCGTTTTATATTGTTTGGTTTATTATTGAATTCTAAAATTTTACTTTCAAATAAATGAAATACACATGCAGACATACGTATATTGATACAGTAGTCATATATTACATGTCTCCGTCGGGGATGGCAGTATATATGTAAGCTTTTATGTTACAAATGGTATCTGCGGTGAACAGTCTATATTATAATAGCTATTTTTATTTAAGCTAACGTTAAGTCACACTTTGTAAGTCTCAAAAGAAAAAGCAGAGACTACTGGTGCGAAGTCAGATGCAATTAGGTATACATGAGTAAGAGGCATTTGAGTTGCGTCATAGGTTTGTTTTTCTTGCACATTGTCTGCTTTCCAAACCAACTTATTTGTCTTGTGCGATCTGTCAACTCGCAAATGTCATAAAAATTCTGTTTTTAATTGATTAAAACCAGGGGAAAAGGGTGCATTATAATAAATGATGTACATCTTTTATGTTCCAATAATTCACTTATGTTACGTGGGCTTTATTGTGATGATAGATAACTTTAAACTCATAACTGAAACACTATGTGAACGTAGGTTTTCAAAATAAGATAAAACAAATAAAAGTAATGTGAAATGTTGTGAAGTGTCGCAAAGGTATATCAAATATGACATAACACATAATTTATGTACGGATATATTTAAAATTGTATGCATATGCCTTAAGTTGCTACAAAGATACTTACTTTCAACTATTTTTTGGTACATTCTCATAGAATAAGACTTTTTCTATGAAAAAAATAGGTGTAAAGCTTATTATTTTTAATACAACATAACTAATGAAAAACATTGTTTATTTATGAGTCCATTGTAGTGCTATTTTAGAGACTGAAATTTTTATCACTGTTATTTATTTTTTAGTGTAATTCTTACAAAAATGTATTAACTAGCATACACAAAAAACATCTAAGTACGTCAAAAAACTATAGCAATAAATTTACAAACATAAAATTCCAACTTACACTGTTTATTCATGTTTTGGATGAATTGTAAGCTTTCATTCCCAGCATTATCAATATCTCTATAAATAACCTACTACCTGCATAACATTCACTTTTACACATACTTTTGAAGTTGACTAACGTGATTTAAGGAAAAACACAAGTTTTTAAAATTTATGATAAGTATACTATTAAATTGCATAAATGCTTTATTGGTTGGTTGTTATTTTGTTAAAAACTAGAATTGTTAAGCAATGCTTATTTTTGGATCATATTGTAACTTATTTTAATTAGAATATTTATATTTTCAACCAAAACTAGAGGAGATGTTCATTATAGATTCTACCATGCTCTTCTAGCTCAAAAATTAGTAATCTACCTTGGTACTCAGTTTTTTTTGTATTTTAATAATGCAACGGAAGATAAGCGAAAACGATTTTTTTCCTACTGTATCACAAGCTTTAACATATATCATGAGTTATCTTATAAAATGGTTATTCTTAGCAGAAAAAGAGGTTAAAAAACTGTTACAACAAGAATACTGCGTTATTTTTTCTACAATTTTTTCTAACCGGTAATAACTGTTTTTTCGAAACTTTTTAGTAAAGTGGTGATACTTACGATCATACATATTTCACAAAAGTATTAACGAAGCAGTATGAACAAGCATTTATGAATATCTTAAAAATTAACTGATAAAAATACATTTTGACTTTTACAAACTACAAATTGAACTACAAACTATGAATACAATGAGATTCCTCTTTATTAAAATAAGTTTATACACCAGTACGTTTACAGTCAATAGAATAAGTAAGATGTTTATTTAATTCAAATTATCAATAAGTGATTCTAAGCTTTTTTTTAAATAATCTACAAGTTAGGTTTATAAATACCTGGGAGATTTATATTTATCTTTTTGTGATCCACAAAAAGGTCTTGTGTTTCCTCCAATCATGTAGTAATGAAGAGCATCTGGGATATTTGATAAATCTGTTTTTCCACCAGAATTAAGAATGACGAGTCCTAAAGCTAACCCAGCTGCTAGAGAGTAAGATTCTCTATCCACACAATTTTTCATTTCAGGACCAGGTGGTCTTCCTATGAAAAATAACATGAAAAACATATTTTAAACTAAAGTATTTTTATAGAATCCTGAAACATTGTTTAGAGGATCGAAAGTCACCTTAAACGATATAATGAGGCTTCAATAAAGTTAATTTCTAATTGACAAAAAATTAGTTTTTGTCGATGTCCTTTATTGGTAACTATTATTAATTATAATAATGATAACAACTGAATGATAATTTCAAGTCAAAGAGTATAAAAAAACTCTTTAATTCCATAACAACATAACGTACTAATTAATAGGGATCTAGATATGAATTTCTTACTCTAGTATCCAAGACATTTGAATAACAAAATTATTAATTTTACAAATATGAAATCATCTTTGAGCATGATTTCAAATAAAGGGGAGGTTCTACTTCAAAACTATTTTTGAATATTGTGCATGAATAAAAAACTTTTAATTTGACAACTATTTTATTCAGTTTTCATAAAAACTATGAAAAATATATGCTTTGGATTAATAATAGCTATATTAGCAAATATAAAATATATCAGGACCTGTGATGTATTGGATTTGCAGCCTTCTAGTATTTTAATTAGCAGCACAAGTTATGATCCAGCAAAAAAAAGATTGTGAGTTTGAGCTGCACTCAGGGAAGAGTTTTTTTGCGATTTGCATTATCACGACTGTCAATTTTTACTAAATTTAATTTTCTTTGAAACATTAATGTTTTTGATTATGAAATCATAAAGGGAAATAATGAAGCTGTTTTACAAGAATTCCTGGCCCATAGCCTTTCCTGCTCTTACAATTACGTAAGATTCATAAAAAAACAAACATTTTTTTCAGAATATCTTGTACTAAAAGTTCAATTTTCAGGCAAGAATGTTTTGTTTTTGTGTAGAGAATCACCACATGTGATATTTTCGTCAACTTAAAAAAGTAGAAGAGAAAACTACGTCTTATTATACAAGCTATTTCTTATAATTTTTCTGCCATCATCACTAATGATTGTGTGAAGTAGTAGCCTTATTTAGATAAATTGCACTATCAGGCGTATCATTTTGCAAGTAGGTCACGTGCCCACAAGGAAGTATATCTATAGCACACACATAAAGAAAAAAACTCACGTGTAACCAGCTGGTTGTACGGATGATATAACTTTTTCTCATTTGTGTACGTTTTAGGTCATATGCCTACGAACACGCTCACGCGCGGCTTGATTAACTTGTATCTACGCACACATAAGCTCTTGCACTCATTTACACGTACACATAGAAACTTATACGTTTACAGATACATAGACACGCTTGCGATCACAGGCTCATATGGACATATGCACACGGGCTAAGCTTTAATAGTGAACTAAAATATGATAAACTTATGTGAAGAATTTTATTGCAAAAATGAATTGATTTTATCGTAATTTATTAAAAAATAAAGAATTGAAAATGCGTAGCCTAAAACCAGAGAATTTTATGAAAATGTTTAAAACATTAACATGGACATCATTTTCTTTGTTTTTTGAAACTTTGACCCTATTCGTGTTTTATAATATATAAGTCACTCATAGCTCTAGAAATTGTACTATAAGCTGAAAATATTTGTACGTATAATAATATAAATTACCTCCCAGAAGGGCTTCATAATAATATGTTAATGTACCATTATTTTACTGAGTAAACTAGATGTAGTGTAAAAAATAATTTTTTTATTTTAAAATGCTTCTGTGCATCTTCTACCAATTTTTTTATAATTGAGCGAGAAAAAACGAAAGTTTTTTTTTTAATTTAATCCCACATCATCGTAACATCAATCTGAAGGCTCCCACATACGTGACTAAATACTTTTTTTTATTTACTTTTCCACACTACTCATACAGCAAATAAATAGACAGTATACATTTAAATAAAAACAGGTTATTAACTTCATCCTTAACAGTAAGATATTATCACTTGTGACGTCAGTCCAAGTTGGCGCGATCACTGGATTTTTTTCCAAGTATGCACCAAATGCTGCTTTCCGCAATGCTGTTTTGTCCACATAAAAATATTCTACTAAAATGGGTACCCTATTTAGCAGACTTTGTTATTTGGCAGAATGACTGCTGAAATTTGTCTACTAGTTTCAGCTTGACCATTATACACAGTTTGACTATATTAAAGTTATTGTTTGCTTGTCATAAATTAAATGTTTAACTCGTTAAATCATTGACCTGATGGAGAAATGTTGTATATGACCATACTAGTATGTTTTAAAGACAGTTTTGTGACTTTGATAATAGTCATTACTGACTGCTTTAAAGTGATCATTGAAAGAAAGTCCCATTTGTATGAGATTAGTTGAGGGGGCCAACTAATTGTGAGTATTAAACACATTACTGAAAACTGTGGGTTCTTCAACTGCATTCAAGCCAGCGATGTGATTATAGATGATAAAGAGTCCCTAATCAAGGACATGACTAATTAATACGGTGCCTAACTCACCGTTCAAGCTTTCATAAAAGGTTTACGAGTAATAACATAAGCGTTTAAAAAATATCTGATATTCTGATAGTTTCTAATTTCTTAGGCAAAACACGAATAAGTCCACTTGAGTTGTGAAGTACGCGGGAACTAGAAAATTTGAGAATTCACATTAATAGAATTAACAGTAGCTTTAAAGGAAAATCCATAATTTTGTAAAGTAAGAAATGCGCAATTCTTATTTTTAAATATAATAACTTGATGACTTAAATAAAATATTGAAGGTGCGATCTCAGTTTGCATGCTTTGTCTAACTAACACTCTCCGGTAATACCATTATTTTAAAATACTGCCTCCGTTTACTATAGCTTCACAGACAATTGATGACGATGACGATAACGATAACGATGACCGATGATAATGACGCTCCACACACTGTGGCCTGACTACTAGATAATGATGAAATATATTAAGTAACATTGTATTTAATTTACAGTATCCTTATAAATTTATAAAGTTTTATATTTTGATGGAAAATGAAAAATCAACTTAACTTTGACATTTAAATTCAAAATAGAGACAAATTTCAATCATATATCTTTTTTAATAATAGGCAAACTTTGTATCGAACAACAAATTATCAATTTGTTTCTAAATCTGGTAGGAAAAATTAAGAGGACAATTTTTTCCAAATTACTAATACCGTTTTTTTTCTAAATTATACAATGTACGTACGAGAAACAACGTTATATAAAGATAGAGGACGCAGAACAATACAACTTACGAAACCTTCAAAGAAAATGCTTCTACAGCGGGTTTTTAAGAAATTATTACTTGGTTTTATGAGATTTTTGTACAGGCTAGTGCGATAATGCCTTCATTTTGGTTTAATTTTTCCAAAACGATTTTTTTTGTTTTGGTTGGAAAAATTATAAAAATTTGTTTTAAAAAAGATTTTTATGTGAGTAACGAAAGTCGTAGCCTTTATTAAGTACATAAAATTCTTAAAATAAAAGACAAATTTTGTCACTCGTTTAACATTTCAATGCTCAAAATAAGTGCTTGGTAGCAGGATTAAAGCTCTATAAAAATGAAATTTAATAAGTAAATTTCTCAACATACTGTTTATTTGATAAATCGGTCCATACTAACAAATTTATTTAAAATAAATGAAAAAAGAAAAACACAATTTTAATTATAAAAAGTCTTGGATAATCGTGTAAAAATATTTTTGTGTGAAACCTGAAATAATCATTTTGTTTTTCGAGAAAAAATGTATCCATAGCTCTGACTAGCATTGTATCCTTTAATTTCAAGTGACCAAAAATAGAACTTTTCTGGTAGTTTTAGAGTTATGAATGGTTACATTATTTTAAAAGTGTCACACTAAAACAAAAGTAAGAAGAAGCGGACGTAATTATATAAATGAGGCTTCTATGATTTTACAAAAAAGCTTTAAAAACGTTGTACAAGTCGTTAGGTAGTCTATTTTTACGAAAATACTTTTAAGTAGGTTCGGTCATTTTTTTGAAGGGGTGAGTGGGTGTGCTCCAGTGTTCGTATTGTCAGTAGAATTCCATCGTCATAGGTTTGGAGATAAAGTTGGCAACTCTTACAAAATGCGTGGAGTGAGTAGAGTCGCGTTGTAAGGTCTCTACGCATTTTGTAAGAGTTGCCAACTTTATCTCCAAACCTATGACGATGGAATTCTACTGACAATACGAACACTGA